CACAACCATCCCCCCCATTCTTGTCTTACGTTTTATTCCTCTCTGTAATTTTCTTGGAATTATACCATATTGCTACTCCTGTCCTCTGGCTAGTAGAAATATTGGCCCCCCTCACCCCCACCTTATCAACAACTTAGGCTTAAGAAAATTCATTTTTGACAAGTTGAAGAGACATTGCCTAAAGTGCTCAGAGTAACTGTTTCAAAGTGCCTAAAGGGGTGCCTATCTGAAATAACGGATTTAGTGTGTCTTACCCCACACCTACTAAATCAGAATCTCAGGTGAGTCTGAAGTTCTGCACATTCTCATGCATATGAACTTTCAGAACCACTGAGCTATGGGAAAAAGGATACCGTTCGACTTTGCCAAAGGAAATAATATCTGCCTTATTGCTTATTGTGAGAACATCTATATAAAGTAGCTGATGAACAGCAGATGAAGTATAAAAGTCAGTGCTTACAGCAGTGCCTGGCACGTAGTAGGTGCTCAGTAAATATCTGTGAACAAATGAGTTACCTGGGTTTTGTGGGAGGCCCTACTTTCCACCTAAGGCCAATGTCAAAATGCTTACACTTTTAATAAAAACATAAATAGAACTCCAAAAGCATTGCAAAGGAATGTAGCTTTTGCTGAAGTTATTTTCCAGGGAAATAATGTAAGAGGGTTTCCATTACATAATGAAGCTACCTAAATACCCTCTTAAAAGATCTTTCTCGAATTTCCTCTCCCTATGACAGCTGCCACCCCTCCTCTACTCTCCTCCCTTTCTCTCATGAGCACATACACTCTCCTCCCCGTCTTAGGTCATGCTCAAGCTAATCTTTCCTATACCAGAAGCACACTATAGCTCTACGTGTCCCTCTAAACACATGAGACTTCCCGCCTCTTGTTTCTCCAAATTGCACTCCTGTTCATCAACCTGCTCAGTAAATCCAAGAAACATCCCCAGGATTCACCCTGCACAGAATGCTGGGGGCAGGGTAATAAGAACGGATAGTTTTAAATATTAATTAATTTTCCTCAGTAACTTAGGAGCTCAATAATGGGTAGATATTTATTTTTATGCATCATTGGAAATAGTTTCTTCAATTTAACCTCACTCTTAAGCAGGTGGATTTTTGTTTAATGTCCTGGACCAAATAAAATATCGAAGTGGCCTTAAGGAAACCTCCAGACTAAGTTATATTGTTACAATCCCAGCAAGAGGTTGGAAAGGATAGGAATTCATAATTTGTGAGGCAGTGGTTCCTAATTTCAGGTGGGCAAAGGAATATTTGTTCCACCATAAAACCAGTACTGTTCTTGCCTGAGTACTTAGCAATGACACCAAATTAATGAACTGACTGAGTTCACTCAAGGGTAAGCAATGTTTCCTGGAAAGCAAGGCTGTTCCTTGGCTTTTGGCAGGGGACCAGTGTTGACCAGAAGGAACTACACCATGCATTCTGTGAACCATGTTTCAAATCACGTTTGTCACATTTTTTCCAAAGAGAAACTATGAGCAACCCACTGGTTGGAAAAGAGAGACCACCTTCCTAGCCATCTGGCAAGATATTGCGTGGCTCTCTATCTTTGCCTTATCCTATGGGGTATAATATAACTATTCTTTAAAAAAAAAAATCATGTCTTAGAAAATAAAGCTCCAAATCTTAAAGAAAAAAAAGCAAGTAGGATTTAAACTTGAACAATAGGGGAACACATATTAAACAATGAGAGGGATTTGCCCCCATGGAATCCTGTGG